ATATGCATATTGTAGCTTTGCTATGTGTGTGTAGAGAAAATAAATACTTAAATATGTGAAAATAAACATATATTACATATGGATAAATTTATAAACGGTTTTACTATAACATTAATTTTATTAATTAAATATTCATATATATTTATACATACACAATGAAATGATTTAATTTAAACTTTATTAGATGCTATTAAATTATTCCAACGAGTGTAATCTATACAATTCCGCCCAAGTGCAAAATAAGATGGTCCTACGTTATCATTGAGGTGCCTACACATTCCTCTCCAGAGTACAAGACAGCGTACTGAAATTTATATACACACATTTTATTTTCACACACACACACACACACACACACACACACACACACACACACACACACACACACACATGCGCGCAAATTAGTCGTATATGATACAGCCAAACTAATGTATAAAATTAAGCAATAACTGAAAAATGAATGCTGGCATATTATTATCTAATTTATCGAAATAAAGCTTGGTTAATAAAGGACTATTTTATGATAATTTAATTGTTATTGTGTATATAAAATATCAAAGTATTATAAAAGCATTATATCTTCATTATACATTGTATATTATTAATTACCTACCCTTTTATAATTGCTCGTAAAGGTGCATCAAGGCAAATAAATAAGCGATCATTGGACATCTTGTATACTCTACAAGCAATTAATGGATCTCTGTGTTGAAAACGAAAGTTACAATTTAATACACCATTGTGCCATTTCAATTCGCATGGTTCCTCACTAATCCAATGTATTTTCCGAGTTATTAAAAAGTCAGTGTATAATGCTGAATGAGTTGTACTACCTACCTATATATATGTACAGAAAAAAAGTATCATTAACAAATCTTAATTTATTTTCAACAAAATATTTATTTTTTATCGTGTACCACTGTAATATTTGACTTCTGATCTTTGTTAAACACATAATAAAGTTTGAGGCAGCCAGCAATTTTACATCTTTGCTCTATTGTCCGTTTGTGAATACCATCGTGTTTACCTATCTGTAGTCCACTGTCCAGATCTATATAGTTACCAGATTTATCTGCTATGTACTGCAATTCTTACAAAATCATTGTCATCTTATTTTATCTTATCAGAAGCAATCGGCATTAGGAGAGAAATGTGTATTTTTTACCTCTGAAATAAAAAAAATCTTGAAATTCATGTTTCCCCACAAAGCAAATACCCTGCTTTCTTTCTTTCGTGCTATTTGGAATAATCCTGCTTGTATAGCCATCACCTTTACATGAGTTTTCAAATAATTTCCAAAAGGAAACATACAACGTCTCAAAGTTTGTTGCGATATCTGGCTCAAGAAGAACGTTTAATCTTTATTGCTGTCTTGCGCCTGTAACAAACGTCTACAGAATTATAATAGTAGCATTACATAAAGAAATAATGTATTTAATTGATGGATTCGTTTTACTTAATATAGGATACTTATATATATACTAGTATTTGCTTTATAATTCTCTAGATACAGTCCGAAGCTTGTTTTAACATAATGACCTGTTGCAATTGCATCTGCTTGAAACTTGTTACATGCGAGATGAAAAAATTTATCAAACTTGATGTTCTTATTGCATAAAATATCTGGATTCGGAGTATATCCATTCTGATACTTTTCTACCAAATCACTGGGAAAATTAGAATAAAAATGTCGCTATCTTCATTTGTGTTGCCGGTTGAAAAAGTTCAAATATTTAAATATATCTTCAAATACCTAAAAACTTTGTTCCAATATTCTTTAACAAAGTTGATCTATATCAAAGGAATTTCTAATTTGTCACAGATCCATCGAGCATCATCATAATCTTTCTCAACCACGCACTTTTCTGTTTCGCCTCTAACATCCCAGTTTTTCATAAATATTCCAATAATATTAAATCCTTAAAAATGTGTGTGTGTGTGTGTGTGTGTGTGTGTATCTTACATAATATCTTACATATCTAACACGTATATCAATGAAAGAAGTAAAGCTATTTTTCTTTCAATTTTTCTAAATTTTTCTTTAGTCCTACCTTTGTTTTTAAGTAAAAGAACCGTCACGGCGCTATCAACACCGCCAGAAATGGCTACGACAACATTTCTAATCATCTTCACAATCAATTTGATCACAATCAAGTTATTTTTCTTCGTAAACTTTTTACAATATATTGATATAGAATAGTCTACAACAATAAAATTTAAAGAAATAATTTAGATTATGCATAGTTACATGAGCATGTGATTTAAATTTAGCATTTTGATCGACGATAATTATGAAACATTTTATATTCTTACATATTGTATCTCTTATATTCTGAATGATTTATAATTTAAGTCTAAATTAAAACCATAAATCTATTATTAGAGAGAGAGAGCATGCTAAATATATTCCATGGAGGATAAAAACTAAGGAGATCAAACTAGGCTTTGAAAAGTGTGATCAAAATCAGGTTTCTAAATTGGTATTGGTTGCGCTCAGTAAGCGGCGTTCGAATCACAAAATTCCTCTCATATGCCTAATTTACACTGGACGCAGCAAGCGTCAAGCAGCGAAGCAGCAACCAATCAGTGAGACGATATTTGCAGTAGCGTAAACAATATCGCCTAGCTGGTTGGTTGCTACTCCGCTGCTTGACGCTTGCTGCGTCAAATGTGAATTAGGCAATACGCTTACATACACACAACCGAACACACATAACCTAAGAATAAAGACGTTATTCTATAGCATCATGCTCTGACAATAGCTTAGTTTTCACCGAGGATTTAAACCGAATCAGAATGTAAGAACCAATCAACTATAGTCGAGCATTTCCCTGTCGTTCGACTGTAACAGGAGAATATTCAATTGGTTGGTTCTTACATTCTGATCCGGTTTAAACCTTCGGTGGAAACTAGGCCAATGATTGCGTTCCGTTTCACGCAAGATGCGCATAACGCATCACTTGTCCTTGTTTAACATTCGGTGAATAACAAGGATAAATAATGCAGTATGTGCGTGAAACAGAATACAACCAATAACAGGAAGAAAATAAGTAAATTCACATACATTATCATTAAGGAGTTCCGCACAATAAAAGGAACAGAAAACAGAGAACAGAGAATAAAAATTTCAATCTATCAGAAATCATGTATTGTGAAATGCATAATTATTGATAAGTCGAAATTCTTATTCTAATGTTCCCTGTTGCCTGTTCCTTTTATTGTGCAAAGCCTCTAAAACTGTATGAAGAATGGAGCATTTCTCATGTAAAATTGATATGACCTACCATATGATGGAAAGAATATACGGTGAAGTACTCCCGTGGATGTGCAGTAGAAGAGTGAATTTGGGTAACATTTGATAAGCTGTTTCAGTATAATTAGCACTATTATACGCAGAGAAGTGCATATTGGGGAACATTGGATTGGTTATTTTCAGTATTGCTATCGCCATTATGCACAAAGTTTCACCTTATATTCTTTCTATCATATGACTTATCATGCAAACTGCGAGAACGATATCATTAGAGTTCCTATAAGGCCGTCCTAACAGCATAAAGTCGACTCTAAAGGTGTGACTCTAATCAAATGCTTCGAAACATTCGTAGCGGCAACTCGACCGCACCCTAAGTCGACTATAGCTTCTAGACGTCTAAAAAATGGACGTCTGTAAGTCGACTTTAGACGATTTAGAGATGTCTCTAAGCCATACAGTGTCTCACTTTAAAGACGACTGTAAGTCGACTTTAAGTCAACCATTTTAGACTATGGTCCGATTCATGCCCACAACGCTCATGAATAGCATTCACCTTTGTTTAACTATAGTTAAACAACAAGGACGAAATGATTCCATATTTAAGCTTTGTGAACGTAAATTGCACTAGACGTCCTAAAGTCGACATTGGAACAATGTCTGTATAAAGGCAACTTACAGTCACCATATCGACGTTTGTGCTGTTAGGGCAGAATCAGACTATACATTGAAGATTGAGATTAAAGATTAAAGATTTAAATTTCATCAATGAAAACAAAAAAATTTTGGCTCCTTTTGTTCTGATTGGTCAAACTTCGATCTTTCAATCCTCAATCTCATTCTTCAATGCGTAGTCTGATTCCGGCCTGAGAAAGTCACGTCAATCTTGTCAAAATTTTCATTGGCTTAAAATAAAATGGCGGAACCAATCATTGATGCTATTTATATCCCCCACTTTCGGGTATCGTGAACGCGGTGACTTAGATTTTAGAAATAGTAAGAGTAAAATTTACATTAAATTATATAATATTGATAAATAGAATTCATGTTAAAATACAAAATATTGACAGAAGTAGATCTGTTTTCTATAGCTGAACTAGTTTTACACTTTTGAAACTGAAATAATAATGATACGGAACAGTAATAAAATAACACTTTCATTTAACAATACTTTTATTTTACGATAAAATGCCATCGTCAAACTGTTATATATTGGTAATTTTAAACGCCCTTTTGACAATATATTTTAATCCTAAATGTAATAAATCGTTTCATGATTTTATATGAAATATTGTGATAATTTTTAAGTATCTTATTAGTGTTTTGTACGATTAATGACATGGTTAGAATGTAACTTTCGACGCTTTCCTATCACATAATATCTGTATCTTTTATATATTTTTAATTCTTAAAACTTTTATAATAATGTATAGGCTTACCTATTTATAATTTTAATACAACTAAAATAATTTCATTATTTCTGATCACTTCACATTACAGCTTCCACCATGACTCTACGCTCTACGGGGCTCTACATAGTAGAGAGTCTAGAGCTCTTCTCTAATAGAGTCTCTGTTAAACGCCGTTTTACTTCAGATTGACGCGACTCGGACCGTGTTCCAATATTAGTTGTCAGCACTAAAAATGCTACAGTCTACGTTACATGCACTATAGATTTTCAGTACTGGCAGTCAATTTTGGAACACAGCCTCTCTTATAGAAATTCTAAGTGTTATAAAACGAAAGCGACATCTCAATCGAACTAAAAAAAGAGACCCGAAGTAAAAAAAGAGACCAAATTCAAGCGACGGTCAGGCGATCACGTAAAAGTTGGGCTCAATTTCTATAGAGTTCCTCTAGTAAGGGAGCGTTTATATTGGCCATATGCCATAATCCATAAAAATTGACCAATCACCTTCGAGTATTCCTTTCTTACAGTCGAATGAGAGGAATACTCGACTGTGATTAATCAGTTCTTACAGATTATGACATACGGTATACGGTTACAACCAATATAAACGCTCCCTAAGAGTTAAGTCATCGAGTGATGATTTTTTATTGGTTCCGCCATATTAAGGGAACGAAAACGATAATAAAGCCTGCAACACACGATACTTGTTTTCACACCATGTTATCCTTCCACCATGCTCCAGCCCGAAGACAAAATAGAGAAAGAAAAAGAGGCAAGGGGGGAGAGAGAGAGGGAGGGAGGGAGGGAGGGAGGGAGGGGGAGAGAGAGAGAGAGAGAGAGAGAATAAACAATCTCTCGTATCGCTATAAAGTCCAGCTACAAAGTTCTCGAACTTTCGCGTTATGACACGCTACTATTTGAAGAAATTAACCACGTCGGATAATGATTTCGATCGCGATAATTCGTTTTTCTCTTCGTTTTTCACGATTCGCAGAATAAGCTGTCACGAGTGTCATACCGTGAACGTGATTTGAGGCTCGCGCGTGAAACTCCAAGACGGCCGAGCAAAGATCATCGGCCGGCCAATCGACGCGCGACTCTCTCCGGGCCGGGCCTGCGGTCAGCGACCAGTCAAGCTCATTGAGAGATAAAACGATTGCAACGCACAGTGCACCTCGTATAAGTGCAGTCATAATTCTCGAACGGCGCGTTGCAGCATGTACAACAAAACAACGGCACTTGTAGAAAATTGCAAAGTCACTGACGATCTCTCTATTGCTTTCAACGAACGGCGCGATCTTGTCGGTTATTTTGCGCAGTTCCCATGACCCAGATTACAAGATGGGGGGATTCGTTCGTCTCTTGGAACAGCCTTACAGCTGGGTGAGCCGTTGGCTACAATGGCTACGAGCTACGAGATCGCGCCGCGCGCACATCTCTCTGCGTCTTACTGCGCATTGCTGTGCCCTTCCTACCTCTCTCTACCTACCTACGCCTCAACAAAACCGCCGCCACCGGCGCCGCAACTCAGGGCCGTAATCGCCGTGTATGTAGCACCGAAGTATCTTCAATATACCCCTACCGTATACCGGGATGTCACGCAACGAGGGAAATATCGAAATTTGGTTCAGATATGCACTATTGAAAGCGCGCGTATGCTTTACATTCGCATTTTCATTTTAGTCGCAAGACGCGATAAATTCAAGAGAAAACGATGAAGGTTGAAAAACTCGTGCGAATTTTCATTTACTTAACAAAAAATAACGATAATCACGCGAAGAATCGTTCGCGAAAGAGACGTGCTTTTGCGTTTACATTTGGATCACGCGGATAACTATGCGATGCTAATAAATGTCGCTCGATTATAATACATACATACATGTAGATATAAGAATAATATCGTCGCTGAATTTGCACGCAATCGGTCCCTATCTCCGTTCCTTAATGACCTCAATTCCTTCGTTTTGAGACTCCGCATGCGTGCAAGAAAGTGCGAGAGAGAGAGAGAGAGAGAGAAAGCACGCGACCACGGAAATCGGAGAAGCGACGATCACACAAGCTCGATAGCCATCGATAGCGCGTGGAAGAATTTCTACAAATTCGCACTTGGTACTCTTGATCGAAACGTTGCTCGTTACGCCAAGGATGGCACAGTGAATATGGCGATGGCGATGCGAGGGAATCCTGATCATCGATAGCAGCAATCCCGAGTGCCCGACAGTCCGAGTGGTTGGTAACAGAGACGCCGCTGGTCGCGCCAGTACGCTCCTGCGCAGTACATTCCCCTCCCCCCTCCCTGCCCCCTACTATCATCTCCCGTCCCGCTACGCGACCAGTCGGTTCCTTGTTTGCCATCACAAAATCCAATAGTTTGCCTTGTACCGCTGAAGGAGAGAGGTTGCACGGTTCGACGATTTCACATACGCGTCTTGCGAAAAAGTGCGGTGAATCTTACGAGTCCAATGTAACGCATGTCTCTTGCTTACGCAAAAGATGTACATTATCCCGCGTTTATTTACCCATACTACAAGATTTCGCCGTTGCTAGAGTGACTTGGCGCGCGCGCATATTCGTGGAAGCGAGAACACTGTAAATTCCTACGAGCAACCGGACCGACCGGCCTGTTAAGGCTTCGTCGATTTTTTGGTCGTGAAAAAACAACGAACCAAGAGAGCTGAAGAGAAAGAGTGAGTGAGAGAGAGAGAGAGAGAAAGAAAGAGAGAGAGAAGAAAATAGGTGTGGAACACACAGAAATTGCGTGAGAGAGGAGGAGTCTAGTACATAAGGAGAAACAGAGTGAGAAAATAAGAAAGGAAGAAAGAGAGAGAGAGAGAGCGCGGGCGCGCGCGCGCGCGCATGGTGCTGTGTGCGTAGATACGTACATGTGTGTGAACGGAGCGAACGCGCGAACGCGAACGGAAGAGGAACAGAGAGAGGCGGAGACGGTGAGAAAAGGAGGGAAAAGAAGAGAGAGAGAGAGAGAGAGAAAAAAAGGAAAACTCTGTAAGTGTAAGGGTCGATTATACGACGCCGTCGAGAGACTCGATCGTGAGGGAGGTAGCTGGTGAGACATACCGAGGGTGTACGGTGCCTGCTTTGGTGGCGGTGGTAGCGGTGGTGGTGGCGGCAACGGCAGCGGCAGCGGTGACGGCGGCGGCAGCGGCGTCGGTGGCGCTTCGCGGAGGAAGTGACCGCACGCGGCGCGGACGTACGTTACTTGTCGCGGAGTTCGCTCCGAGAATGCGTTATGTATTTACGTAGAATATTGCGTAACGTACAAGGGGCCGGCTAGAGTGTTTGAAAACGTGCGTTGTCTGAAAGTTTCACGGCATAGATCGACAAGAACTACCGGCGCAAGAGCAAGTTTCGCGCGTGCATACGCAGCAGGAATCCAATCCCGGCCACCGACGCGATCGAAAGTTTCGGGGAGCCAGAGAAGAGTCGGCGACAGTGCACTATTCACGACAACCGAAAGACGTATCTCGATCTCGACCGTCACCGCTCGTATCCTTCGTCGTACTTGTACGACAAAACCTACGTAGGAGATAGGAACGTGTTTTTTTTCAAATGGAAATTGGTACGTATGGAGAAAAAGACATCCACTGCAATGTTCGGAACGTTTATCTATTCGTTCATCATTTTCCTCGTGCATTCGATGCGACTTTTTCTACATATACGCGGCATCGCGTCGACAATTCTGCAACGGAGCTCGATCGGGTCTCCCTCTCCCCCTCCCAGTCCTTCCCCTTCCTTCCCCTCTCTCACTTTCTCTCTCTCTCTCTCTCTCTCTCTCTCCCTCTCACGTAGCTAGCACGAGTTTATAACTTAGACTCGGTTGCACCAACGTTACTTTGATTTCAAACGAAACTTAAAACTCTATCTCGTTTTAAAACCGAAAAGAGACAGGGACAAAGAGAGTTTTAAGCCTCGCTTAAAATTTAAAATTAAAGTAACGTTGGTGCAACCGAGCCTTATTCTTGTAACGCGCTTATGTCTCACGCGTCTCTCTGATATACGATAAAGTTTCATTGTAAAATATTACTATTTACGTCGTCAAATTTCAAACTGCTACGATAAAAAATGTCTGTACCTTCATTTTGCTCGTCGAATTAGCTTTAAACGATTATGAAATTGAAAATGAAATTATGGAGTAGAGATCCTAAAGAACGTCAAGATCTTCCAGATCTTATAACCTAACTTTACGTAGTTTCATACATTATATTTTCCTAGACCTTTCGAGACTCGTGCAGAACATTCTTTAATTGCGCACAGATTTATTTATTTGAAAATCTGCAAATTATTATAAAAAATTTCGATAGGCTTCACCATATGATTTTACTACTTTTTCTCTGATAAAATATTTAAACGTTAAACACAAGACATACATGCCGATGGCTGTATTCTAAAATTTACTGCCAGTACTCAAAATCTGTAGTACATACATATAACATAAACACAGATTTTTAGTACTGGCATTAAATTTTGGAATACAGCCTATATGACTATTGGTCTGTTTTCCGTTCCTACACTAGATTGTTCTAGAACTCCCTTTCGCGCTGTAGACAAATATAAAATACATCTATCATATATATTTATCTTACTTTAAGTTCCAAAAATGTATGTGTGTACACTAATTTACTCACAGAAAACAGATCTTATATATGCCTATAGTTGAAGTATTGTGTTTTGAAAATTACTAATGTGTAATATACTGTTTATATCCTATATTTATATGAATACAAATGTACTTTAAATCAGTATTCAATACTCAAAGATATCTCTTTGTTTATTTATAATTCACAAAATTAATCGTGTGATTTGCAAGAGATATAAATATGAATCTAAATTAACCTTTTCTAAACATAATCATTAGCTTTAAACTTTTCAAGATTGTCTTGAAATCGATAAGCTTTGATGTATAAGTGATATTAACAATACATTATTGTATATATACAAAATGCAAATAAAATGTAAATATATATATATATATATGTATATATATATTTATTTATTTATGTATTTATTTATCTAAGATACACAAGTATGTATGGTGTTTCGTTGCATGTATGATGTGCATTAGGAATTTTATTCTTGTTGTTTGCAGAATATTAAACAAAGATAAAATGATATATCATGTGTATCATGTGTGCAGAGGAACAAACCTGTATATTTTGTGTGTGTGTGTGTGTGTGTGGGGGGGGAGGGGGGCGCGATAGTGATTTGTAAGTTAAATTAGAAAATGGAGAAGAAATAAACCTCTTTTGGAATTATTTTCTTTTCAGCAGCTCCAATGTGATTTGCAATGAAACGTGTTCGTGGACTGGAGGAAATAACATCAGCATCAGCAAAGCACTCATCAGCGAGTGCAGCAAGTGGCTTAGGTGGTGGAGGAGGTACTTTAGATTACCACACTGGTAGTGGAATAGGTGTTGTTGTACCTGGTCAAGCGGTTCGGTCTGTTGCGTCAAAAGAAATGCCAGGAAGTATACAGTTTGGCACTGCCCAAGCTCAACAACAATACACTGGAGCGATTGTTGTACCAACCGCAGCACCATCTCCTATCAAGGTAAATTCCTATTGCAATTCCATATGTATCTGCAAGTATAATGATGATGATGATGAAGATGAAGATGAAGATAAAGATAAATAATAATACTTAATAAATATTATATATGCAGCAGGCGAGTGGCTCCACAGCAGGACTTGGCTCCACGTGTAGCAGTAGCAGCATAAATACTGGTGGTGGTTTGCATAGTGGAATAGGTAGTGGTAATAGTCACACAATGGCTTCCCAACAACCTACATCAGGATCACAAAATCAAGTCCATGCGCAACAGCAATCAACAATAAGGCATAAGGTGTGCATCATCTACTTTTTTTCTTTTGTATATCACACAGAAACGTATACACGCATGTATGCACGAACAAAAGTACAAAATACAAACATTAACGTCTATTGTGCGCTTAGACAATCGTCACAAGTTTATAAATAAGAGATATGTCACTATAGGTACATTCTGGTAATGTAACACCTTTGGCTTCCACTCCACCCGGCTCTAATCTGGGAGGAGGAAGTGGATCTCAACAATTCCAGAGATTAAAAGTAGAAGATGCTTTATCTTATCTGGATCAAGTAAAATTTAAATTTAGTGATCAACCACAGGTAAGCGACAAAGAATTAAATATATTAAATATCAATTAAATAAGAGTTCAAACGTGAAAGAATATGTGTGTGTGTGTGTGTGTGTGTGTGTGTGTGTGTGTGTGCGTGCGCGTGTGTATAAAAGATTAGTTTATTGGTATTTTTCATCATGACGCAAAATTTTTTATTTATAGGTGTACAATGACTTCTTAGATATTATGAAAGAATTCAAATCTCAAAGTATAGATACTCCGGGCGTTATAACCCGAGTGAGTCATCTTTTCAAAGGACATCCCGAACTTATCGTTGGTTTCAATACATTTCTCCCACCCGGCTACAAGATAGAAGTACAAGCAAACGAGCAAGGATATGCTTTTCAAGTATCCGTCAGTATGCCCAGTCCAACAGCAACACATACCGCATTGTCACAGCATCATTGTACGGTGAATGTTGGTTCACCTCCAGTAGCTAGTCCACCCACGCAACCTGCAAAAGCACCTCCCGTTTTGCAAATAATGCCAGGGTAAGCATTCTGCTAAGTCTATATTATTACAAATTATTATGAAAAAAGAAAATGCAATGTCTATTGCTACATTGATTGTCCTCAGGTCGGGTAATATACACCATACGTTGGCAAACAGTATTACAACTAATAGCTTAACTGTTCACGCGCCTTCACCGCCGCCAGTATCAGTGTATAATAATTCTCACGTTAGTACTGCACAAGCGCAAGCTGTCAGTCAGGCTTTAAATCAAGCAGATGGTGTGTCGACTGGTGGACAAACTCAACAAAGTCAACCGGTTGAATTTAACCATGCGATAAACTATGTCAATAAAATAAAGGTAGGATTATTAACAAGGAAAAAAGGAGCGACATGAGATATGGAAAATAATCAAGCATATGTAAAGTGTACAAAATTATGTTATTTTTAGAATCGGTTCCAAGGTCAACCAGACAAATACAAACGCTTTTTGGAAATATTGCATACGTATCAGAAAGAACAGCGAAATTTAAAAGAATCTGGTCATATGGGAGGTACAAGTTCCGGTGCGACAGGTGGAACGAAACACTTGACGGAGGCGGAAGTTTATAGTCAAGTTGCTAAATTATTTGAAAATCAAGAAGATCTGCTTGCTGAGTTTGGACAATTTTTGCCGGATGCTACTAATCAGCAAAACTCGTTGGTGAGTCGGTGCTTATTACGATAAAACGATAGAATTCTCGACGAAACAGAATTTTAAGTGAAGAATTGCAATTATGCATTAAAAAAATTGATCTGAAGTAGTACAGTCGTACGCGCGCGCGCAGACAGACAGACAGACAGAGAAAGACTTTTAAACAAACATGTATGTACTTCTTACAAACATACATATGAAAATATATTATTTCTTGTTTTTCTAAACTGCGAAATACGTATACGTGCAAGAAGAAGGGGGAGCGCAAATGTGAAAAGATAATGTTTATAAATCGCATATTCTTCCATTACGAGTCTGTTGTGTAATATTACGTTTTAAACACGAACATCTGCTATACATATATTCTCTTGATCCTCATATATTTAAACATAAAACAAAAAAAAAAGAGATTATCATAATTTTTCTTTTTTCTTCTCTCCTTTTTGCTCATATTTCTTCTGTTGCTGAGAAAGCTATTTCTTCGTCGAATAAACTAACCAATTTTGATTCCTATTAGTCTCTTGCCATGTTTCAGACTAATAAGACGACATCAGTTAACGATCATACGGCAATTGTCAAGAAACCAATTGGACTTAAGACACCTTACAATAATTCTGGTACTATATCGAGAGATCTTCGAGAAGCTAGCAGTACGGCTGGATTGGAACGCGATAATCGAGAACACAGAGAACGAGAACGAGAACGGGATAGATCTAACATAAGAGATATAAGTAGTGGCCAGAAATGCGGGCATAGTACAGGACAATTGAAAAGAAGTCCGTCATTCTCGACTTCAACGACTACGGGCAATTCTCATCATATACAACATGGTCCACCACCCTCGAAAAAGCATAAAGTGGCTTCGATGCGCGATATTTCTATCGCAGAAGCTGGTAAATACGGTACCTTAAATGATTATGCTTTCTTTGATAAGGTGAGCATTAAGTGTATTATCATTTATAATTTCTTCATTGTAACTACGTTACATACTTTCCGCACAACAAACAAGTTTTCTTAAATAAATATGATGTTACCTTAGGTTCGAAAAGCGCTCAGATCGCCAGATGTCTACGAAAACTTTCTTCGATGCCTTGTACTTTTCAATCAAGAAATAATATCGAAATCGGAGCTTATTCAGCTAGTGACACCATTTCTCGGTCGTTTCCCCGAATTATTACGTTGGTTTAAAGATTTTCTGGGCTACTTAATCGATTCGTCGAGTACTACGGTAACAAATGCAGGAAATGCTATCGGAATAGAAACTTTCCCAAACAGCATTGTACGCAGCCATCAAGAACGGCCGCAAGGTGACTTAGCGATAGAGATTGATTATACAGCATGCAAACGATTGGGGGCGTCGTATTGCGCATTACCAAAATCGTACATTCAGCCAAAATGTAGTGGCAGAACGCAATTGTGTAAGGAAGTCCTCAACGATACCTGGGTCTCATTTCCAACTTGGTCAGAAGACAGTACATTTGTAACATCAAGGTAATTGATCATTTTCAATTATGCACCTGCGCATGTGAGAAACACTCTTTTTAAATTTCTTTGTCGTCTTGTACTACTCTTTTCTTTTTCCTATCATTTACTTTTAAAATTATCTATTACATATACATAATGTTATTTATTTGATAATAGTGTTGTAAAAATAATTGAAATATTTTATTACAATTATGAGATACGTGTGCATTGGTTTGCCTAGGAAAACGCAATACGAAGAATCCATATATCGATGCGAGGATGAACGTTTTGAATTGGATGTCGTTATAGAAACTAACGCATCGACAATTAGAGTGCTCGAGGGTGTTCATAAGAAAATGAACCGGATGACTCAAGAGGAGGTACAAAAATATAAACTCGACGAGTGCATGGGCGGTTGTTCCCCTACGATTCATCAACGAGCAATAAAAAGGATATACGGTGATAAAGCTTCCGACATCATAGAGGGTCTTAAAAGAAATCCTGTAGTGGCTGTGCCCGTTGTACTCCGCCGATTAAAGGCTAAGGAGGAGGAATGGCGGGAAGCGCAAAAGGGATTCAATAAAATCTGGAGAGAACAAAACGAGAAGTACTACTTGAAATCTTTAGATCATCAGGGAATTAATTTCAAACAGAATGATGTAAAAGCGTTGAGATCTAAAAGTCTGTTCAATGAAATCGAAACATTATACGACGAGGTTGGTATATATACGTGTTTTAACTTCAATTTCCATCTCGCTTTTCTACGGTTTCTCTTTCTTTCCCTTTTTTTCTTTTTCTGATTTTTCCTTTTCTCATTTTGCAATTATTTAACGTGTTTTGGCACATTGTACAGAGGCACGAACAGGGTGATGACGGTAATGGCGACGGTCAAGGGAACAGTGGTCCACATCTCGTTCTATCGTACAAAGACAAGTCTGTATTGGACGATGCTGCCAATCTCTTGATCCATCACGTTAAACGGCAAACCGCTGTCCATAAGGAAGACAAACAACGGATAAAGCTTTTGTTAAAACATTTTATACCTGATCTTTTCTTCCATCCACGACAAGAACTTAGCGATGACGAAAGGGACGAAGACGGTAGATTCTTTTTTTATCTCATAACTGTCATCTCGTGAAGACGAATATATTTTCGAATACATACTCGGATTTTATTCCATTACAGATGAGAAGGAGGATGTAAACATGGCAACGTGTAACAATTCTCAATCCGCAACAAATACTTCATCGTCGTTAAGTGGTTTGCAAGCTAATAGGAGTAAAGCTCCCGCGTCGCCGAGTACATCTTCCGCTATTATTAAAAGTGAACCCGACGTAAAAGTACCAATGCACGCTCTCTCGAGTGATCCCGAAGAAGCGTATACGCTTTTTATGGGGAGTAATAATTGGTACCTCTTCCTAAGGTTACATCATATACTATGTGAAAGATTAACAAAAATGTACGACAGGGCGATTGCTCTTGCCGAAGAGGAGTCCAAGTATAAACAGCAGCGCAGAGAAAGTACAGCGGTCGCTTTAAGATTGAAACCAAAAAGTAAATAATCCATTTGCCACATTTTAAATTGTCAATTTGCATTGGCAATTGATTATCACGCATTATTGCGATTTAGTCGTATATTAATCGCACTTATCATCGGTATATTTGACACAGGTGAAATTGAAATTGAAGATTATTATCCTGCCTTTCTGGATATGGTTAAAAATGTCCTCGACGGAAATATGGAAAGTACAGCATATGAAGACACATTACGAGAAATGTTCGGTATTCATGCATATATTGCTTTTACTCTCGACAAAGTCGTTAATTATGCGGTTAGGCAAGTAAGTAAATTTTCGTTTTGTTCCCTTTTTCATGACATGACAAGAGGAAAAAGCAGGCACGCGAATATTATATATTTCTTTTCAGTTGCAGCACCTAGTCTCGGATTCCGTTTGTCAACAATGCATGGATTTATTCCAAAGGGAGCAACGTCAACCTAAAGAAAATAGCGGAGCTGGCGGACTATGCGCCACAGCATACATGAGATTAAGTGCTGAATTATCATATCAACGCAAGGCAGAAAAAGCAATGGCAGATGAAAACTGTTTCAAGATATATATAGTAAGTAACTTTTTTTAAAATGTTTGATTTATTTACAATTACAGCAATAGTGGTAATAGCAATTACTATTCATGACAAATTATATCACGTAGGCGCATTTTTACTTTCTTTTGAATATACGAGGTGTCTGAAATATTGTTTTTCACTAAACTACCAATTTTTCTTCTTACACAAACACGCAATGAAGTAAATAAAAAATAAAAATGTGCGAATAGTTTCGAAAATATTTCAAGAACGTCGTATATCATAATTAAAATACACTACGTCGTAAATGAAACTAATTCGTTAGAATTGTCGATAATAAATGCTTTATTGAACATTGTATATAATTAGATTTTAGTTGCAAGCTTTCAAGCTGTATTTTTTATTTCAGTATAAAAAGGACTGTAAAATGACGATGGAGTTGTTAGATACAGAAGGCGATGAAACAGTGGATAATGGCTGTAGAGAGAGAGAAAGGGAAGGCGTTACAGTTTCTGAAAAATGGTCAACATACGTTGAGAGATTTTCTGCACCAGCTGGTCAAACTAGTCCAAAAGACACTCCTGCCTTAACAGAGAATGAGCAGACGACCAATCATCCTGTGAGTAACGACCAGGCAGCAAGGGGGGGGAGGGGCAGAAAACGCAAGAACACTGACATTAGCAAAAAGGTATAGGATCCAAATACCTTTTCATAATCATTGCCAACATTCAACTTAACGTTCATTCGCGTAATTGACAACT